AATGAATATATCGGTGGTACCTAGGAAGGTGAGATTAAGGTTTTAGGATTATGTGTTTTGTAATTATCTGAAGATGTCTAGAGGTTCATGTTGAATCTCTGTAGTCCAACAACCTCGGGACTTGACCGGCGCTGAACCAGAACGTTTGCCTAACCACGGAAGGAGCATTACCAACACTTCCATTATTACTGGGCCTTTAGAAGACATTTAGGGATAAATGAACCCCAAATAACAGCAGAGAAGACTGAGAGCCAGGACGGGTGGCTATAAACAAACTATGGGACTGCAAGCTTGGCCACACCCATGGTAAGTGGACATCTGGCTAAGTAAAATCATGCCGGACTACGGTTGTGACTCATGGAAAAGAGCAGGCCCATGGCCATGTGGGATGAATGAGTCGATGTCTCTCAAGCGCCGGGTGTATGGCATTGGGGAGAGTCTTTCCCGAATGGGAAAATTGACTTGCTCAGAAGAATTAATGGGAGAATATTCTATTGTTGACCAAAGACTCTGGCTGGAGGGAGTTCAATTAGCACAAGCTACTTTTTTTTAGTGCTGGCATGGCAACCACAATGGGAAAATGGATCAAAAGGACTCAACGAAGAGTTTGGGATCTTCCGGTAGATCTTGGACCCTCTGACACGTGATCCCCACTGATTTGGCTGGGAAGCCATCAAGCTCTGGTACTTCAGTTGCTCCTCCCCCGCTCTGACACGCTGATCCTGCCCTTTGCCTGGGAGCTGCCCCCCTGGGAGCCTCTTGCCTGCTGTGCAGAGTGTGGGAGGGAGAAGGGGGAGCACTGGTGTCAGGGTGTGTCCCTCCTAACCCTTGCCTGCAGACACCCTCCTGCAGCCCCCATTGATCAGTAACATGGAGCCGTGGCCAGTAGAAGCTGTGGGCTCAGTGCCTGTAGATGAGGGGCTGCACACAGTGCCACGGAGCCATTGCTGTACACGCCAGCTCCTTTCAGGAGTGGTGCAGGGCTGGGGCAGGAGTAAGTCCACCTGAACCCCACTGCTCCACCACCCAGAAGCAGTCTCAGATAAATGGTGCCAAGCCAGAGCTTGCTTCCTAACCCCCTGTCACAGCCCTGAACCTCCTCCTGAATCCAACCTCCTTCCAAAAGCACCCTGAACCCCCTCCTGGACCCCAAAGCCCCACCCTGGGCTCAGCTCGGAGCCCCTCACAGACTCCAAACTCCTTGGCCTACAACCAGAGTCTGCACCCCAACCTTCTACCCCAGCCTGGTGAAAGTGAGTGAGGATGGGGGAGGAAAGGAGATGGACTGAGCAAGGTGAGGCCTCAAAAAAGGGGTTGAGCAGGGACAGGGCCTCAAAAAAGGGGGCGGTGACGATTCAGAATGTTGAACGAAGGCAACAAAGTACACTTGGAAAATGCAGACCGGGAGGCTGATCTCCCTAAAGATAAAGAATCACAGACCCAGTGCAGCCGGTACGGTGGCTATCGAAATGCCAAGGTCTGTGAGGGCCAATATAGAAAGGAAAACGTAGGAACCAAGGTCTGTGAGGGCCAATATGGAAAAGAAAACGTAGGGCGGCTCATGGAAGCCTGGCTCAGTTTTTATAATTAACAGAATGACAGAATTGCCTCCTATCGCAACAGCATAAATTAAGCAGAAGGTGACAGTGATCCAGAGATGGGCGTCCTCCAGCCCAGGTACCCCGGTGGGGAGGAACACAGCATGTGTGAATTCAGCGTCATTGACAGCTGCCATCATGCCCGAGCAGATTCATTCAATTTCCTCTAAAGCCCAGACTTTCCTAACATCCTGCTCTCTCCTCCTGTGCTCAAGAGCAGCCCACTCACTTCCTTCCTGGGCTCAGCTTGGCTCAGCATTCCCAAAAGCCAGGCTCCACCATTTCCTTGGAGGCTCTGACTCTACTCCCTCTTTGTCCCCTTCTCCACAAGCCCTGAACTTTTGTCCAGAGTCCACAAGCCCTGAACTCTCCATCTTCCCTGTGGCTTGTGTCCTGGTGGCAGGGACACAGGTTTGGGGCTTGTATTCATCCCCCCCCCATCCCATGCCCTGCCCAGGAAGGTGTGGGGCTACTCACAGTATCTCGGGTACCTCTTAATATAGTCCGGTTTCTGTCCTGGAGAATGGAGTGTTGGGTAAAGATGAGGAGCCAGAGGGTAGGACTTTGAAGGAACAGATGGAGCAGAGGGGAGAGCCTTAGAGAAGGGGAGGAGAACAGAGTGGGCATCAAAAGAGAGAGAGGCAGGGGCTCCTGCCTGTGTCTCTATTTTACCTTTTTAAAAGTTGGTTGTTCCACACTGAGGGCTCAGCTGGGGTCGGAATTGGCTGTGCCTCTGTGGGGGAGCTCAGAAACATGTCCGTCCCTTTGCAAACAGCTATGGCAGCACAAAGGGAAGGAAGGAACAGGTCCCGAGTCTCTTGGAGGACCCTGCTGTAGGCAGACCCATCAATGGGCAAATGGACTGACCAGCCACAGGCCCCTGGAGGAGGGCAAAAGGTAAGGGTGGGTGTCTGTGCTCCCTAATTAGCCCTGGTCTGCCATAGGTGCAGCCCATGGATCATGCAGCACCCAAAGCACTCAGGAAGGGCCAGCACTGTGACAGCAGAACATCTCGGGAGCTCTTTCCGTGGCCTGCAGATTTTTAACCAGCGACAGTTCTCTGACCGGACAGGTTTCAGGAGAAACAACATGCACGTCCCTTCCCGTTATTGAATGTGTCAACAGCAACTCTGAGGATGGAGCAGCCACTGATGTCGTATCCCACCTGTTTCCTGGCACCCCAGGAATACAGCCACGAATAGAGTCCACGTCTGGCTTCTGTCCTGGAGAGCGGATGCAGCCTTGGGTAATGATGAGGAGCCAGTGGGTTGTACTGCCGGAATAGGCCCTGTCTACAGTTGCTGCAGCCCCATACACAGCACACAGCACCCAGAGTGCTCAGGAAGGGCCAGGACTGCGACTGCAGAACAGCCTAGCAGCTTTTTGCATGGCCCCCAGATGTTTAACAAGAGATGGGACAGAAACAGGGCAGGTATCATAGGAAAAAGCATCCACATCCCTTCCCTTTATTGAATGTATCAACAGGAATTCTAAGGATGGAGGATTCTAAGGATTGATATCACATCCCACGTGATCCCTGGTTCCCCACCAATATAGCCACTCTGGAAATGGAGTTGGCTGCCTTGGTCTCCCTTCCCCAGTGAGTTTTCACCCTCACCAGCAGGTGGGGACAGACCTGTGATGGGGTGCAGTCAGAGAAGACCCGTTGGGGCTGCTTCCCATTGTTCTGACAAAGCCACTGAGACATGCCTCCTTGCTCTGTGGGGGTCTTCACCCCCCTGTCCAGCTAGGCCAGATCTCCTGGTCCCCATCAGCCGAGGCGCAGTCTGGACTCTCTCTTGCGCAAAAGCACATTGCTTTTCTGATGAGCTTTTGCAGTGTGGACACACTCTTGCTCAAGACGCTTTTACGGAAGACCTCTTGCACAAGAAGCCTGCAGTGTAGATGTAACTTGAGTCTCTTCAAGTCTGAAGAGAATGTGGTTTCAGGCACAGTAATCAGAAAGCCCGTTCCCCAAATGGGATGAGAACTCCAAATAAATCATGCGTCATAGCCCCCGTTAGCAATGAAAGGAGGATTGCACACTGATTGCTCCACCAAATATCAATTATTTACACTCGGCCTGATAGTAAATGAAAAGTGATTTTATTACATACAAAGAGTAAGAATCAAGTGGTTGCAAGTGAAAACACGCAGAGCAAAGGAAATTGCAACTGTAAAAGGAGAGAAAACGTAGAGCTAGTTCTAACACACTCAGAGTATGTCTACACTAGCCACCCTAGTTCGAACTAGGGTGGCTAATGTAGTCATTCGAACTTGCAAATGAAGCCCGGGATTTAAATGTCCTGGGCTTCATTTGCATGTTCTCTGGTGCTGCCATTTTTAAATTCCCCATAGTTTGAACTACCTGCCCATGGCTACTCGCAGCATGGGCTAGGTAGTTCGCATTAAAGCTCCCAATTCAAACTATCGTTACTCCTCCTGCAATGAGGAGTAATGGTAGTTCGAATTAGGAGCTTTAATTAGAACTAGTTAGCCTGTGCCACGTGTCGCCGTGGGCAGGTAGTTCGAACTACGGGTCATTTAAAAATGGCGGTGCCAAGGAATATGCAAATGAAGCCCGGGATTTTTAAATCCCGGGCTTCATTTGCAAGTTCGAATGACTACATTAGCCACCTTATTTCGAACTAGGGTGGCAGTGTAGACATACCCTCAGAGGTTATTGCAAAGTTACCCTAAAACTCTTCTTTTTTCAGCTAAACCTCCATGCCAGGGAAGATCCTTCATACCTGGGGCCTCCGGTTTATTCTCTTGAAGGTCAAGTCAGCCAAAGCCTAAAGAACAGCTCGCTTCCCATTATCTTATAGATTTCACTTTGGGTAGGAAATTGTTCCTCTCTCCCACCTTCTTTGGAAAATTACCAGATCAGACCCTACCAGTTAGGGTGCTCACATATTTACCCAAGACTAAATATTGCTTAAACTTCAAAGACAAAGCAGGTACTTTAGAGCCAATACCGCAGACTTTGAGGTGCCCCATCACTAGAAACACCCTCAATGGCTTTCATTTGCACATTTATAATCCTAGACCATCCTCTATCTAACATCTCCAACTTTATGTGCAAGAGTGATACATGCATCAAAATAAAATGCACTGATACAGCAGATTGTGATGTTAAAATTGTTAGGTAGGGGTACTTTGTCCAAAGCATTTTCGAGTTTCCCATAATTGTATCCATAATTCCATTTCATAAAGCATGGGGGTACAAAACTATCACAAGCTGCTCGCCCAGAACCCTGGGTCATCTGAATCTCTCTCTACTTAGTGGCAATGCCTCTCATGTCCTCTCAGAGGTAATGATCCAGGATGGAAGAGGTGACTATGGCACATTCTTCTGTCTCTGCTGTCACCACCATGGCAGAAGGGTAATGAACAAACCCTTCACTTGATGAACACCTTGATTATCCTCTCACGCAGGGGTTTGCTTTTCACACTGTACACGATCGGGTTCATCAGGGGTGGGACAAGCAGGGAGACGTAGCTCAGAATAATCCGAAGCAAAGGAGATGCGTCCTTCACAAATCTGGTTATCACAGACAGGCTGAAATCTGGTGTGTAGAAGAGCAGGACGGCGCAGAGGTGGGAGACACAGGTGTTCAGAGCCCGGAGGCACTCCGCTTGGGACGCGATGCTCAGCACGGTTTTGAGGATCATCACATAAGAGAAGAAGATAAGCAGCAAGTCCAAGCCCCTTGTTAAGATTTTAGTGATCATGCCGTACATGCCTCTTAATCCCACATCCGAACAAGCTAACCTCACAATGTCCTCATTCCGGCAGTAGGAATGGGAGAGGACATTGGATTGACAGTATTGGAACTGCCTCAGGAAAACAGGGAGTGGGATTACCACAGTAAGTGCTCTTATCACACTCACCAGCCCCATCTTGGCTATTCTCGGCAGGGTTAAGATGGAGGCGTATCTCAGTGGGTTACTGATGGCGATGAAGCGGTCAAAGGCCATCAACAAGAGCACACCAGATTCAGTGTACAGAAGGAAGCCAACAAAGTACAGCTGGAGGAAACAGGCGTGGAGGTTGATCTCCCTAAAATTAAAGAAATAAAGGCCCAGGGTGGTTGGCATGGTGGCTATCAAAAAGCCAAGGTCTGTGAGGGCCAACATGGAAAGGAAAATGTACATGGGCTCATGGAGGCTTGGATCTGTTTTTATAATGAACAGAATGACTGAATTACCTACTATCGCAGTAACATAAATTAAGCTGAAGGTGATAGCGATCCAGAGATGGGCATTTTCCTGCCCAAGTATCCTGGTGAGAAGAAACACGGCATGTGAGAATGTGGTGTCATTGAGAGCTGACATCATATACTGAGCAGATACAAGGAGTTTGGAACTTTTCTTCCTGAAAGGAACAAGAAAAGACTAAATGATATTTAATGAGGCAGGTTTTTGCTCCCATTGCAGTTCACCACACACCCAGTTAGCTCAAGGAAGATCAGCCAGAACATACTTTTGGATTTACCGTACTAATAGGAAGACAGGCCCTGCCAGGCTTGATCAGACATGAAGTCCATCAAGTCAGGATTCAGGAGTTAGTATCAAATGCTTTGGAGGAAGGTGGAAGAAGCCCTGCAATAGGTATAACAAAACCTGCTCCTAGCGAATGTTTCCCTCCAGCACCCACAGATTAGACACATTTTGGGGTGTAAATCAGGAACGTTGAGAGCCCCTCCAAGAGAATTTATATCTGTCCTTACCGCTGTATTTGGATTTTCTAGTTACCAAGATAAACATCCAGTCCCTTTTTGTTTCCACCTAAGCTCCTAGATCTTGAGGTATCATGTGGCTGGGAGTTCCGCATTGCTGAATTTACATTTGTGACCTTACCACAGACACCTGTTCTGTCGCTATTGAATCTATTTATAAATGTTTGGCATTGCTGGAAATTCTTAGGGGCTCTTAATTCAATACTACTGATTTCAATGGTATCACTCCATATTTAGAGGTGTAAAGTCATTCCAAGTCTCTTAAATAACTTCAGCAAATGGCCCCAATGGCAGACTATGAGCCCCAGGAATCCCTGCAAGAGAAGTTGAAGCAATTTGCCCACTGGTGTTGTCTGAATACAGAGCTATGGATCATCCCACAGGCTTCTCTTCCTTCTCTCGAGACCTGCATGCTCTCCGCAAGCAAGGGTCTGGTACATTCTAAGTTAACACAGACAGCAACTTCCGTTGATGAGAGAAGGAGCTGGGAGCACAAATGGGTGACCAGGGCAAACACTAGATTTGCTGTAAAACCCCTTGGCTGTGTCTAGACTGGACAGTTTTTCCAGAAAATCAGCTGCTTTTCCGGAAAAACTTGCCAGCTGTCTATCAGCTGTCTACACTGTCCGCTTGAATTTCCACAAGAACACTGACAATCTCATGTAAGATCATCAGTGTTCTTGCGGAAATACTATGCTGCTCCCATTCGGGCAAAAGCCCTCTTGCGCAAATATTTGCGCAGGAGGGCCAGTGTAGACAGCGCAGTACTGTTTTGCGCAAAAAAGCTCCGATGGCTAAAATGGCGATCGGGGCTTTTTTGCGCAAAAGCACGTCTAGATTGGCACGGACACTGTTCCGCAAAAAGTGCTTTTGCGGAAAAGCGTCCGTGCCAATCTAGATGGTCTTTTCCGAAAATGCTTTTAATGGAAAACTTTTCCGTTAAAAGCATTTCCGGAAAATCATGCCAGTCTAGACGTAGCCCTAGAGTGTGCCAGTTACATCAGCAATGCTAAATGGGCATAAATTCCCACCATCACACACGCTGTCCTACACCTCCGCTGAGCTCTCCGCTGAAACGGAGAGCAGCCATGTTGTTCTCTCAGGACTTTTCCCTGAGTCTTGCACAGGTTTTGCACCCGGATTGTCTTCCTAAACCTCATGAATATCAGAGTATTAAACAGTTTCTGGTCAGTGACCAGGAGACAATACCATGGAACAGTTCCCTGGACAAAGAGCGAGGAGCACAAAACAATTGCAAACACTCCTGGGAGTTCATCTGCAACACTTTCTAAAGCACAATTCCGGTCCATCCTGAAAAAATGTCAACAACACTGCAGCTGGATTTCAGCACACATACATGCCATCAGAGACATTTTGGGGCATAACATTTGCACCTTGTACCTTAGCTCACACAAGTCAACACATTCCTTGCCCTCCCATCTTCTTACAAAGAAGATTTCTCAGGTTAGAGTCCAGTACGTCCGCTGTCCATCTCTGTCTCTGGTTTTAAAGCTGACTGGTTTTCCCCTGGCTCTGTTCTGTCAGCCTGTTGTCTATCTCTGGAGTGGCAACAGGGACTGGAATCAATATATAAAGTATAAAATATTGATGCTCTGAACTCAGACTCCCGGGTTCTCAGTAACGCCGGCACCTGTTATTCTGGGATAAGGAGGGTTTGCAGAAAGTAGATTTTAAAGTGTAATGCCTGAGTAGTCATGGAAATGGCATTTCATTGCCCACCAGAGAGTTGCCTATTGCTTTTTCTCTACCTTCTTGTGTCTCTCCTGGACACATACAATTCACAGCAACTAGCAGTGGCACTGGAAAAGACATGGAGCTGGGCTGCCCTATGGAATGGGTGGGTTAAACCCAGCTCCTGGGATGTTTGCTGTGTGGCTACATTGGATTAACAATGTGGAAATATAAGAGATGGCTGCATTGGGTGAAACCAGTCCGGCTCCTCTTAATTTAGCAGCAGCTGGCTGGAAAACAAGCAGGAAGGGAAGCAGCAGCTCAAGAAAAGCCGTCGCTCAGTGAGCACCTCAGGATACAAAAGGCTGGAAAATGCATTTCCTGATTGTGTTTCTGGGAGAAAATGAACCTATAATGATTTGGCAACTTAGCCCTTGGCAGGATGTTGCCCCGAGCACACGGCACCTCTCGACATGGGATCCACCGAGAATCCCCGACTCAGAGCATTGAGGGTTTAATACTCCAAGCTCCTTGGGAATCTCTTTGTACTTAAAAAAAAATGTATGGATCCCAGGCAGATGTAGCAGAGGAGTTCCCAGATTGTTACCACTGCCTGCCCCCCAACCCTGTCACTGAGTCACCCCCACAGCCCAGCTGAGTCCTCTCCCGCTGCACAGAACAGCTGCCAATGCAAACAGCCTGCAGCCTTCGCCCTGCACTTGGCATGTTACAGACAGTGAAATCTGTCAACGTACCCAGTTCCTGCTAGAAGGGAGATGCTGACACCGGAGGTCTTCACTGTAAAGGACAAGGAGTCACCACAGAGACAGCCTAGACAGCAGGCAGTGTGTGTTCAGATAGGGATGCAACTGCCTTTATGCAGCACGTTTGTACCTTCCTTTGGGGTCAATTGGCCATCAGGGAACTTGAATTGTTTGGCTTTGTGCAGGCTGTATTCTTGGAATCCAACCTTGTCAGCACTGTTCATGTAGTTGCAATTAGTCCCAAGGCTGCCTTCCTCCCACACAGTTGTATGGTCGGATGATGCTGTAACAACTGTCATTTCTCCTAACTAACTATGTACATAAACAAACAAGTTTCTTTGCAGCAGTCTCCTATCCTGTATTGACCATCCAGGCTGCTGGCCCGGGAAGAGAATTTCCACAAAGCTCCATCCATGGACATTTCCCTCAGATTGCTGCAGAAGATTCTGTGGGAGGAATTGGATAAAAGTCTATTAGTGATGGCTACCGGCAGGGTGCATCGGGTCTAGACAGAGGGTGTGTCTAGACTACAGGGTTTTTTCGAAAAAACTATACCTGCCTCTAGACTACCGCTGCGTTCTGTCGACAGTAATTTGACAGAATGTGACAGTTTTGTCGACAGCGGTAAACTTCATTCTATGATGAATATCGCCTTTTTTCGACAGAGATCTGTCGAAAAAAGGTGCTATTGTATGAAAACAGGGTTTTTTCAAATGAGAGTGTCGAGATTCTCTTTCGAAAAAGCAAGCCGCTTTTTTGAAAAATCGTCTTGTTGTGTAGACACTCTTTTTCGACAGATGCTTTTTTGAATGAGACAGTCGAAAAAGCCTCTGTCGAAAAAGGTGTGCAGTCTAGACATAGCCAGAGTGACTGACACCCATGGGTGCGCAGCGTTACTTGAAAAGTGTGCCCAAAGAAGATGAGAAAAGGAGGTGTCCCTGATAGATGAAAGAGTTCCCATCTGAATATGAGAAAATGAAATATAGATGGATAGACACATTTAAGAAAACAGGAGAATATGGGCCCTCGCAGGACCCTGTTAAAGTCTGACGCAGTCTTGCATGTTGGCCTCAGGCTGAAGCAAGTATGTGGAAATATATCCTTTTCCCCTTGGTTATAGGGTAAAGGCTTGACTGTAAACTGCTTAAAGTGCTGAACCTGCTAAGTACGTGCCCTCAGGCATTGGGTGAGGTCTACTAATAAGTAGCTTAAAGTGCTGAAATCATTCAAGTGTATGCCACTAACAACAAGTAGGATCAAAATTTCCAGAATTATTAAGACGTGGTTTATAGAAATGGGGGCCAGACAATGGGCATGCCCTGTATTTTATGAAAGTGCTAACTGCCAAATGGGTAAACAGCTTAGAATAGTGTAGACATAAGTTACCCTATGTCTACACTATAGGGTTTTGTCGTTGTTGTTTTGAAAAAGCTACTCAAATTGCGCCCTGGAATTCGCAACGCTTTTTCCGATTGCTTTTCCAGAAGAGGCTTTTCTGACATTTGGCCCCGTGAAGATGGGGGCAAATAGCGGAAAAGCCTCCTCTTTTGGAGGAACCCTTATTACTCATAGAATGAAGTATACAGGGCTCCCCAAAAGAGCGTGTCTGCTCTTCTGCGAAAAAACGTGGAAGACCTGTTCCCAGGATGTGGCAGAGTTTTTCCGGGATACCTCCGGTATCTCATTAAGCCCCACAAATATTGGACAAATAGTGTTAAGTAAAATGAGTAGCGTATGGAAGCATGTTGGAATAAAGAAGTGCAAATGGCTGGAACACCACGTGGCAAAAAGGTATGAAGCAACCCAGTCTCGCTTAGATAAAGGATGCTTCTGCATGCAAGTGCTTTGGGAGGGAGGAACGGAGACGACCCGCAAACTCTGTTCATGTAACCAGAAGTTCTTGGCCTGTACATCCACATCATGCAGTCTAGGACGTCTCCGTGTGAGGGAAGAAACGAGACCAAAACCTCCTGCCCGGAGATTGTTGGGATCAAGGGTGAACTGTAGGTGCATTAGGCTTAAATATTGTAATATAGCTAATTGTGCACTAACTGCTTTGCATTATAGGTATCTTAGGCTAACTGTTTTTAAAATCCATAGAACTTTAAACTATATCGCATAAGTGATAAATTGGCCTATAATGAATCATGGCTGAAGCCCGTATTGTGACGTATGCTGCGTTTATGTGTCTTGCACTGGGTGAACTATACTGACCCTTTGATGTGCAAAGTTCTTTGGTTATTGTCATTGCTTGAACTTTGAATAAAATAAGAAAGTGGTTAAGTTTAAATCTCTCTCACTGGTCTGTCCTGCACCTCTGAACCTAAAAGTACAGTGCAAGAACCACCACACAACAAATTGGCATCATACACAGGATTCAGAGAACTCAGGCAGATTTGAGATATTTGTGAGCTATGTCACTGTTTAAGCATGGGAAGGGAGAAAAGGACCAGGGAATGATTCTGGGATGGCAACCCGGCAATTATTGGATGATCCTTGCAAATTATATAGCCCAAACTGAACCGCCGATTGGCTGGGTTCGGGAAGACATTCAGAGAATTTGGCAAAAACCAGGGGAATTGGCAGAGATGCTGAAACAGGCAAGTGTAAGTTGAAATTCATCAAGCAATTGTGACTTGATCTCCTGGCTCTTATTAATGGCATTGGAGGCAGGAGACAAAGGCATCGGCGATTTCCAAAAGAAACAAATTACAGGTTCAATTGGAACAAGCAGAAAGCACCATTCACCTATTAAGACAGGGCATGAGAGAGGCACAGAACTTCACAGACAAACAGGAAAAGAAAATGAATAAGCTTCTGGTAGCTGTTGGGAAACAAACCGCAAATAAGCGGGTGGCCACAGTAACCAGGGGGAAAATTAGTAATAGCAAACTAGCTGCATTTTGCAGAAGTGAGAACTGGGACCCTGAGGCTATGTCTACACTGAAGGCTTCTTGTGCAAGAAACTTTTTGCAGAAGAGATCTTGATTGGCTCTTTATGCGCAAAAATCCCCTGTTGCCTGTCCACATACACCTTTTTGGGCAAGAGCTCTTGCGCAAAAAGGAGACATTCCTCGTAGAAAGAGGAATACCTACACTGCAAAAACCTCTTTGTTCTTTTGATTTATTGTAAATTTACTTGAGCAAAAACGTGCTTGAGGTGTGGATGCGCTGTGAGTTTTTTGCTCAAAAATGGCCATTTTTGCGCCAAAACCCTGTAGTGTAGAAGTAGCCACACAGTCAGGGGCCAAATCTGTTACCAAAAGTGGAGAATTATACTACCTCTGAGCTAACTGATCTACACCAACGTATTAGGTAAACCAGAGGAAACAATATCCACATGGCTGCTCCGTATATATGATCGGATGGGAGAAGCTACTGTGTTAAATAAAGAGGAAATTAGGGCATTAGGAAAGCTAACAACAGACCCCATAATAAACCAGACCTTTAGGAGACTAACAGCCACAGGGAATGTGTGGGAAAAGGTACAAACAGCAGTAAGAGTGGGAGTCATGGGCTGGAGGGGGTGAAGCCCTAAGGGAATTAGCCGTGGGATGGTTGTTGTATGGTAGCGGGGGTAGTATAATTACCGATCCCCATAAAGTAGATGTTACAACATCTATGTTCCAGAAGCTAGTAAAAGGAGGACACCGAGGGGCACAGGGTACTTTGATGGGTTTCCAAGGAAACATAACTGGTCAGCCAGTTTGCAAATGCAGTAAATGCACTGGCATCCATGGAAGGCCTGGGGATAGGGAGAGAGCCTCGGGGAAAAGACCGATGTTGTGAAGACAGAACGAGGTGGATGTGGAGGTGGCCGATGACTCTGTAGAGGTGGCCAATGAGTCAAGGGGAGGGCATGAACAATGGGATGGGGTCCCATATGTAAATATGTTACAGAAGTGGCAGCAGCTGACCACTAATATCGGCAGACCAGGGGTTGAGTCTTCAGTTCCTCCTGCTCCTGACCAGACCATTCCCAGTCAAAATAAGGAAAGGGGTGACCAGGGATCCTCACAGGTTTATCCTGATCTGGAGCCCTGGAAAACCAAAGCAACAGATTAGGAGTGGGCCCACCCAGTGGCTACTTTGGCAGTCACAGGAGTGGGCGCCCTAATAGAGTGGATGCTTTAAATTCCCACCCGATAGTTCAATTAAAATTAATTGGGATGCAAATAATTGGGAATTCAGAGATATGCTCATGGATACCGGAGCAGAAGACACAGTTTTTGAGGGGCATATATTCTCCCAAGAGGCCAGAAAATTAAACTTGAAGGTAGTAACAGGGGGAGGAGTGACTGGAACTGCCCGGCCAGTAAAATCAAATTGAAGAACGGGGATGAACTACAATTTCCTGTCCGAAGTGAAAGCTATAAAACAATGGGAAGCATGCCATCCCTTGGGCTTTGGCTGCTGTGACGCCCAAGAGAATAAACCAGATGCCCCAAGGATAAAAATCTTCCCTGGCATGGAGGTTTAGCTGAAAACACAATTAAGGAATCTCTTTACAAACATCTAGACTAATATATGGGAATAAGTAATAGCATAATTTGTGAAGAACAAGTTTGTCATAGGCTGGAAATGGATGACAAGAGAGGGATCACTTGATGATTCCTTGAGTATGTCTGGACTGGCAGGTTTTTCTGGGATAACAGACATATTCTGGAAAAACTCCGCCGTATCCAAAGAAGGCGTTTGCTCTTCCACTTTTTTTTATGGAAGAGCAAATATGGTCTTTCGGGGAGCCCTGTATATCTCATTCTATGGGGAATAAGGGCTCCACCAAAAGAGGAAGCTTTTCCACTATTTGGCCCCATCGAGATGAGGCCAAATGGCGGAAAAGCCTCTTCCAGAAAAGCAATAGAAAAAAGCTACGCAAATTGTGGAGAGCAATTTGCGTAGCTTTTTCCAATAAAAGAGTGCAGTCTAGACCTACTCCCGGTTCTGTTGACTCCTTCTGGGGCATCAGGTATTGGCCATTGTGGGAAGACAGGACACTGGGCTGGAAGAATCTTTGGTCTAACCCAGGGTGGCTGTTTTTATGGTCTTATGTTCCTGGTCTCCAGCAACCAAGGCACACAACTGAGATCACCCCCAACCCTACCCGAAGAGCAACAAAGATGCTGAATCACCTCAGATTTGAAGAGAATGCAATTTCAAGCCCAGAAATCAGGAAACCCATTCCCCAAAGGGGATCAGAATCCCAAATAACTGACTGCTCCCCCAGGTAACAATTATGTACACTCGGCTTATCGTAGAATACTAGGACTGGAAGGGACCTCGAGAGGTCATTGAGTCCAGTCTCCTGCCCTCATGGCTGGACCCAGTACTGTCTAGACCATCCATGATAGACATTTATCTAACCTACTGTTAAATATCTCCAGAGAGGGCAATTCCACAACCTGCCTGGGCAATTTATTCCCGTATTTAACCATCTTGACAGTTAGGAACTTTAGCCTAATGTCCAACCTAAACCTCCATTGCTGCAGTTTAAGCCCAGTGCTTCTTGTTCTATCCTCAGAGCCACGAAGAACAAGTTTTCTCCCTCCTCCTTGTTGGTTTATTAGGTGATGAGCTTTCGTGGGCCATACTCACTTCCTCTGGCCCACGAAAACTCATCACCTAATGAACCATATTGTTAGTCTTTAAAGTGCTGCATAGTCCTGTCTTTTGTTTCAGCAAGATCAGACTAACACGGCTACATCTCTATTACCCTCCTCCTTGTGATGACATTTTAGATGCCTGAAAACCGCTATCATGTCCTCTCTCAGTCTTCTCTTTTCCAAACTAACCTTAATAGTAAATAAAAGTGATTTTATTAAGTGCAAACAGTAGGATTCAAGTGATTCAAGTGAAAAGAGGCAGAGCAAAGGAAATTACAAATTAAAAAAACGGAAAATGTACAGCTAGTTCTAACATACTCAAGTTTATTGCAAAGTTACCGTAAAACTCATCTCTTTTTCAGCTAAATCTCCATACCAGGGAAGATCCTTTATTGCTGGGGACTCTGGTTTATGCTCTTGGGTATCAAGCCAGCCAAAGCGCATGGGACAGCTCGCTTCCCGTGGTCTTAGAGATTTCACTTTGGGTGAGAAATTGCAGTCCTCTCTCCCACCTTCCATGGAAAATTACCTGCTCAGACCTTACCAGTTGGGGGGGTCACATGTTTACCTAAGAACACCTATTGCTTAGACTTAAAGGACAATCACCCACACAATCACCCAGACTTTGAGGTACCCCAGCATTGGAAACGCCCTTGATGACTTTCATTTGCACATTTAAAAACATAAACTCTTCCATTCCCCATATCTCTAACTTTACATACAAAATGATACATACACCAAAATAATATGTACAAATCCAGCATATTGTGACATTACAATTGATAAGTTACACGGAGTAGTTTGTACAAAGCATCTTTGAGTTATGCATAATCTTGTCCATATTTCCTAACACATAGGGGGAACAAAAAATGGACACAGACCCCTCTCCCAATGACTCTGGTCTTCTCTCTCCAGTAGAACATGTCATCTCAGATATAACGATCCAGGATGGAATACGTGACTATAGAAAGTTTTTCTGTCTCTGATGTCACCAGTGCTGCAGGGGGGTGATGAACGGCCTCTTCATTTGATGAACACTTTCATTATTCTAGCACGCAGGGGTTTGCTTTTCACGCTGTAAACGATTGGATTCATCAAGGGTGGGACAAGCAGGGAGACGTAGCTCAGAAGAATCCGAAGCAAAGGAGAAGTGTCCTTTACGAATCTGGTTATTACAGACAGGCTGAACTCTGGTACGTAGAAGAGCAGGACAGCGCAGAGATGGGAGACGCAGGTGTTCAGGGCCCTGAGGCACTCTGCTTGGGAAGCGATGCTCAGCACTGTTTTGAGGATCATCACGTAAGAGATGAAGATGAGCAGCAAGTCCATCCCCATTGTTAAGGTCTTAATGATCAAGCCGTACATGCTGCTAGGTCTGATATCCGAACAGGCCAATTTCAACATGTCCTCCATCCGGCAGTAGGAATGTGAGAGGACATTGGCTCGACAATATTGGAACTGTCTCAGGAAAAGGGGAACTGGGACTATTATGGCAAGTGCTCTTAGCACACTCACCAGCCCCAACTTGGCTATTCTCGGCAGGGTTAAGATGGAAGCGTATCTCAGTGGGTTACTGATGGCGATGAAGCGGTCAAAGGCCATCAACAGAAGCACGGCAGATTCAGTGTATAGAAGAAAGGCTACAAAGTTCACCTGGAAAATACAGGAATGGAGGCTGATCTGCCTAAAATTAAAGAAGTATATACCCAGTGTCGTCGGCATGGTGGCTATCAAAAAGCCTAGGTCTGTGGTGGCCAACATGGAAAGGAAAATGTACATGGGCTCATGCAGGCTTCGGTCTGTTTTTATAATGAACAGAATGACTGAATTGCCTACTATCGCAATAGCATAAATTAAGGAGAAGGAGATGGAGATCCAGAGATGAGCGTCCTCTAGCCCCGGTATCATAGCGAGGAGGAACACGGTATGTGTGAATGAGGTGTCATTGACATCTGACATCATGTACTGAGCAGATACAAGGAGTTTGAACTTTTCTTCCTGAAAGGAACAAGAAGAAAGTAAATGATATTTAATTAGACAGATTTCTGCTCTCAGTGCAGGTCAACACACAGCCAGGAGCTCAAAGATCAGTCAGAACATAATCAACATAGTCTTTGATTTACAGCACTGACAGGAAGAAAGGCACTGCCCGACTGTATCAGGATTCAGTGGCCAGTTCCAGATGATTTGGAGAAAGGAGGACGGATCCTTTCAATAGCCAGGTGTGACAAAACCTGCCCCAGGATATATTTCCCCAAAACACCCACAGATTAGACACATTGTGTGGGGGTAAATCAGGAATGTTTAGAGCTCTTCCAAAAGAGCTTAACTCTGTCCTCCCCACTGTAATCAGGTTTACTGAACACCACTATAAACATGCAGTCCCTCTTTGAATCCTCGTAAGCTCCTAGACCCTTTAGTATCTGGGGATAGGAGTTCCCCAGCCTGCTGGAGCACTGTGTGAATTTACCATTGTGACCTTCCTACAGACACTCGTTCTGGCCTTTCACTTCTGTGTGTGGCCCATTCTAGCATGATGTGTGCAATTATATATATATATTTCACCACTCCTAAGAGTCCAGATTACACCACTAACACTTCGGAGAAGTTGCTAGACATTCTTAAGGGTTCTTTATACAATAATGTTGATTTCAATGTCATCAGTCCAGATTTAGAGGTGTGAATTCAATACAAGTCTCTTAACTTATCACATGCTCCCAACGATAGACTCTGAGCCCCAGGAATCCCTGCAAGAGAATCTGAAGTGATTTGCCTGCTGGTGTTGTCTGAATCCAGAGATATGGCTCATCCTACAGGCTTCTCTTCCTCTCCCCAGGAAGGGCCTGATACGTTCTAAGTGAACAGAGACATCAACTTCAGCTGATGGGAGAAGGGGGTTGGGAGCACAAATGGGTGACCAGGGCAAACACTTGATTTCCACTAATAGCCATTTGAGTGTGCCATAGTGATAGAAATGTAGCCGTGTTAGTCTGGTGTAGCTGAAGCAAAATACAGGACTATGTAGCACTTTAAAGACTAACAAGCTGGTTTATTAGGTGATGAGGTTTCGTGGGCCAGATCCACTTCCTCAGATCAAATAGTGGAAGAAAATTGGCACAACCTTATATACCAAAGGATACATTTGAAAAAAATGAACACATATGAAAAGGAGAAATCAAATTTCAGAACAGAAGGGAGATGGTGGGGGGAGGTAAATGTCTGTGAGCTAATAATATTAGAGGTGATAACTGGGGAAGCTATCTTTGTAACGGGTAAGATAATTAATGTCTTTTTTTAAACCTAGGTGAAAAGTGTTGAATTTAAGTTTGAACGACAGTTGTCTCAACGACTTGATTACCCTGCATCCTGCTTCAAAGACCTTTTAACACCAGACTTGAAAGAGAATCCTCTGAACTGTCAATCATACTTAAATTCGACACTTTTCAGCTAGGTCTAAACAAAGACATTAATTATCTTACCCATTACAAAGATTGCTCCCCCAATTATCACCTCTAACATCATTAGCTCACAGACATTTACTTCCCGACCTCCTCCCCCTTCTGTTCTGAAATTTGATTGTATCCTTTGGTATATACAGTTATGCCAATTTTCTTCCACTATTTGATCTGGGGATGTGGGTCTGGCCCACGAAAGCTCATCACCTAATAAACCACCTTGTTAGTCTTTAAAGTGCTACATAGTCCTGTTTTTTGCTTGAGTGTGCCAGTTACTTCAGCCACGCTCCTGCAAAAGCTGATGGGCATAAATGGTCACCATCACACTCTCAGGACTTTTCCCTAAGTCTTGCATAGGTTTTGCACCTGGATTATCTTCCTGAACCTCCTGAACATCAATATATGAAACAGCGTCTGCTCAGTTACAAGGAGACAATATCATGGGACTGTTCCCTGGAAAAAGCGTTAGTAGCACAAAACAATTGTAGAAGATTCAGGAGGCTAGCCAAGTGAGTTCATCTGTATAGGATAAACTTAAAAAAAACAACAAAAAGTCTGGTAACATAGATTCATAGAATCATAGAATATTAGGACTGGAAGGGACCTCGAGTGGTCATCGAGTCCAGTTCCCTGCCCTCATGGCAGGACCCAGTACTGTCTAGACCATCCCTTACAGACATTTATCTAACCTACTGTTAAATATGTCCACAGATGGAGATTCCACAACCTCCCTGGGCAATTTATTCCAGTGTTTGACTACCCTGACTGTTAGGAACTTTTTTCCTAATGTCCAACCTAAACCTCCCTTGCTGCAGTTTAAGCCCATTGCTTCTTGTTCTATCCTGAGAGGCCAAGATGACCAAGTTTTCTCCCTCCTCCTTATAACACCCTTTTAGATACCTGAAAACGGCTATCATGTCTCCCCTCAATCTTCTCTTTTCTAAACTAAACAAATCCAAATCTTTCAGCCTTCCTTCATAGCTCATGTTCTCTAAACCTTTAATCATTCTTGTTGCTCTTCTCTGGACCCTCTCCAATTTCTCCACATCCTTCTTGAAATGCGGTGCCCAGAACTGGTCACAATACTCCAGTTGAGGCCTAACTAGCGCAGAGTAGAGCAGAAGAATGACTTATCATGTCTTGCTCACAACACTCCTGTTAATGCATCCCAGAATCATGTTTGCTTTTTTCGCAACAGCATCACACTGCTGACTCATATTCAGCTTGTGGTCCACTATCACCCCTTTCTGCTGTACTCCTTCCTAGACAGACACTTCCCATTCTGCATGTTCTGCATGTGTGAAACTGATTGTTCCTTCCTAAGTGGATCACTTTACATTTGTCTTTATTAAATTTCATCCTGTTTACCTCAGACCATTTCTCCAATTTGTCCAGATCATTTTGAAAGCTCATAACACAATCTACAAGTTTTTTTAATCTTTCAAGTACTATCAGACTATTGGGCTGTGTCTACATTGGCACCCTTTTCCGGAAAAGGGATGCTAATGAGACACTACAGAATTGCAAATGCCGCAGGGGATTTAAATATCCCCCGCGGCATTTGCATGAACATGGCTGCCGCTTTTTTCTGGCTCGGGGTTTTGCCGGAGAAAAACGCCAGTCTAGACTGGATCTTGCAGAAAATAAACCCTTTTCTGCAAGATCCCTTATTCCTACTTGAAAGAATGGAATACTTGAAAGTAGGAATAAGGGATCTTGCGGAAAAGGGTTTATTTTCTGCAAGATCCCGTCTAGACTGGCACTTTTCTCCAGCAAAACCCCGAGCCGGAAAAAAGCAGCAGCCATGTTCATGCAAATGCCGCGGGTGATATTTAAATCCCCCGCGGCATTTGCAATTCCAAAGTGTCTCATTAGCATCCCTTTTCCGGAAAAGGGTGCCAATGTAGACACAGCCTTGTTATTTTTTTAAGAGTAAAACAATTGCAAACACTCTTGTGAGCTCTTCTACACAAATGGGTGACCAGGGCAAACACTAGATTTCCACTAATAGCCACCTGAATGTGCCAGTTACAACAGCCATGCTCCTGCAAAAGCTGAGGGGCGTAAATGGTCACCATCACATTCTCAGGACCCTTCCCTGAATACTTGCACAAGTTTTGCAATTGGATTATCTCCTTGAACTTCCTGAATATCAGGTTTCTAAAGCACAAATCGGGCTCTTCCTGTAAAAATGTTTGCTATGCTGCTGTGGGTTTCAATACACATACATGCCACCACAGACATTTTTTGGCATAACTTTTGCACTATATACCTTAGCATACACAAGTCAACCCATTTCTTCCTCTCTCATCTTCTTACATGGAAGATTTCTCAGGTTACAGTCTAATATCTCCACTGTCCCGCTCTGTCCCTGTGTTTAGAGCTGATTGGGTCATCCCAGATTCTGTTCTGTCAGACTGTTGCCTTTCTCTGGAGCAGTAACAAGCAATGGAATCAATATGTAAAATATTTATTCTCTGAACTCACACTCTCTGGTTCCCAGTAACACCAGCAGCTGTTATTCGGACATGAGGAGGGTTTGCAGAAAGTGGATTTTAAAGTCTGATACCTGAGTATTCATGGAAATGGCACTTCATTGCCCACAGGGGTGTTGCCTATTGCTCTCTCTCCCTCCCTCGCTGTGTCTCACCTGGATACATAAAATTCACAGCAACTGGCAGAGGAATTGGAACAAAAATGGAGCTGGGCTGCCCTACGAATGGGTGGGTTAAACCTGGGATGTTTCTGTGTGGCTACATTGGATTGACTATGTGGCGGTAGAGGAGATGGTTCTATTGGATGAAACCAGTCTGGCCATACTTAGTTTATCAGCAAGCTGCTGGAAAAAAAGCAGGAAGGGAAGCAGCAGCTCAAGAAAAGCCGTCGCTCCTTGAGCACCTCAGGATACATAAGGTTGGAAAATGCATTTGCTAATTGTGTTTCCAGACCCAAAAAAAAAAACCTGAGGTGATTTCGCAACTCAGCCCTTAGCAGGATCTCACCCAGAGCACAGGGCACCTCTGGAAATAGGACCCATCCAGAAATCCTGTCTCAACGCACTGAGGGTTTAACACTCCAACCACATTGGGAAACTCTTTCTGCTAAAAAGAGACGTATGGAGCGCAGGCAGGTGTAGCAGAGGAGTTCGCAGCTTGTTACCACTTCCTGCCCCCCAGCCCTGTCACTCTGAGTCACCCCGACAGCCCAGCTGAGTCCTCTGCCACTGCACAGAACATCTGCCAATGCAAACAGCCTGCAGCCTTAGCTCTGCACTTGTCATGTTACAGACAGTGACACCTGCCAACGTACCGAGTTCCTGCTAGAAGGGAGCCGCTGACACTGGAGGTCTGCACCTTCAAGGAGAGGAAGTCACCACAGAGACAGCCTGGACAGCAGGCAGTGAGTGTTCAGCTAGGGAGGCAACTGCCTTTAAGCAGCATGTTCGTACCTTCCCTTGGGTGCCCCTTGGCCACCAGGGAACTTGAGTTGTTTGGCTTTCTGCAG